GGGGGGGGGGGGACTTTTATGTATGTGTGTGTATATGTATATTTTCTTGTAAGATTTAGTGTCTTCAACTTGACCCTGATGTCATTAGTTCCAAATTAACTAGATAGACTATGCTTGTGGAGAACTTTAAACTTGATGAACTATGTGGACCTGGTTCTCCTTGATTTGGACTTTTTGATAATGCCCTTGTATTGCTATACTTTGGTTTCCCCCTAAATCCCCTCTTTATCTGTTTCATGGTTCCATTGAACCCAATGAGTCTTTGTAGTAGATTAAGTTTATCCTGAATGTATCAAATCTATGTTCAAGTATCATGGCTCATAAATCATGTAGCGTGGATGAAGGATGACTGAGAACTACTAAATATGGATCTATCTGCAGTGTCTGAAGCCTCTTGAGTGGACAATGGGGCCTTCTCTGTGGTGGGGGGAGGATAGAGGTAAAATATTGTTACCTTCTTCATGAGTCTTCCTTCTGTAACCAAACCATGTTTTTAGAATGAGAGTTAGGATCTATTTTGTAGTTTCAGGTGGAACAGAGCAAGTGCAATGGAACATTAATTGCAGCAAAAGAATACACATCCACTTTCCTAAAGGAAGAAGTGGCTTACCATCCACCTTACTTTTGGCACCATGTGATCTAAACAGATTCACAAGTTCCAAGCTATGGCTATTCACCCTCCACAGACCTCTTTGTGGGAGGTTTTAAGGTTTTGGGATTTTGTTGTTCCTTAAGGGTTTCTTCTTCCAAAACGAAACATGAAATATCTTGTGATATTTTTTTTCCCTTGAGCAAGCTGGGGGCATAGCAATGATTGTAATGTTTAATAATTAAATTACAGTAGTGTTTAAATTGTACTTTTATATTTTATGGAATTCCTGGGTGGTACAAATAGTGAAGTGTTTGGTTGAACTAACAAAAGGTTAGTAGTTTAGTCCTCCTGGAGGTGCCTCTGATGATTGGCCTGACTATCTACTTTCACAAGATTAGCCGTTGAAAACTGTCTGGGACACAGGTCAGTTCTTGCACACATAGAATCACCATGGGTCGAAGTCAACTAGACATCAATTGTTTTTTAGATTATACACTATGATTTTTCTAGCTGATTGAATTAGTAAAAGAATCCTTAATTACCTATTTTTACTATATACCATAAGCTCAAACGTAACAACAATTGTGAGGATGCCAAAAGACTGGGCAGTGTTTGGTTCTGCTGTGCCTAAGGTTGCTATGAGTCGCTATGATTGATACTTTAACAACACAAGAGGCTAACAGATTCTTTTTCTGTCCTAAAGAAAACATTCAAAAGTAGAATGAAATCTTATTTGTTCCAGAGTCTCTTGTGTGATGGAGACACCACTCCTTAGCATCCCATCTGATCCGTCCAGTAGGAGGAAAGCCTTGCAGTTGAGATGCCAGTGACTACAAATCTCAGGAGGGAGGGCTAGGCAAGAGGTGCTTTCACTATTCAAATGACAAAGCCACAGGGTCTTTGCTGCTTCTGGGTCTCTCTACATTGCAAAGGAGACCCTGGAGAAAAAAACAGTTGCTGTGGCATTGACTCCAACGCATGTTGACTCCGTGTGTGCAGAACTGTGCTTCAGAGGGTTTCAGTGGCGGAAGTTTCAGAAATAGATCTCTATGCCTTTCTTCCAAGATGCCTCTGGATGAACTTGAACTTCCAACTCAGTTAGCAATCAAATGCATTAAGCGTTCCCACCACCCAGGGGCACAGTGTACCTGATCATACATCAAAGGCATAAGAAAGATGTTATCAGCAACTGGTACTTAATAACTTAGTAAATGACCTTTTCCTGGGGTGACTTCAGGAAACCATTTTTTTTGTGTGTGTGCATTTGCCCTTTGGAAACAGTAACAAAAACATTACAGCTTTTATATTTGATAGAACACTGGTAATGTTGTTGTTGTTGTGATGTGTCGTGGAGTCGGTTCCAACTCATAGCGACCCTATACAGGGTTTCCGAGGCTGTAAATCCTTACGAGAGCAGAAAGCCTCATCTTTCTCCCACGGAACAGCTGGTAGTTTCGAACTGCTGACCGATTCGTAACCACTACTCTACCAAAGCTCCTTAGAACACTGGTAATAGAGATGTATAATTTGAATGCGTTACACGTTGGGCTGCTTACCACAAAGTAAGAAGTTCAAAACTACCAGTTGCTCTGCAGGAAAAAGATGAAGCTTTCTACTTTCATAAAGATTTTACCGCCTTGAAAACCCTATATACAGAGTCACTACAAGTCAGAACTGACTCAACAGCACACAACCACCACCACTGTATTTCCTCAGAGGTCTTAGGGAGGATTCTGTGTGTGTGCATGGGTGTACACATGTCTAAGTGTGTGTGTAGGCAGGAACAAATGTGTTTGCCTTTTAAATGCTTGTTGACTGCCAGAATACAAGCTGAGTGTTTTCCCCTCAGAGGCAATTGTGAATCAGAAAAAAGCATTCAGAATCACTGAGCTCTGAAGCGTGAGCTTTTTAAAATGTGGAGACTGTGGCTTGAGAGATGAGAAGCCCGTAGGGGCCCTGTGGCTGACTGACTGACGAGGATAGCATCCCTGACAGTCAGCCCTCCCAGCTGTTAATAGTCTACTAATACCCTCTGCCTGGCACACTAATTCATTTTAAGAATACAATTAAATATAGATGCACCAGATTTTTTAAAATTGCTAAGTGCCCTGTAAAGCCAGTATATTATCATGATAAAACTTTTGTCATTTCAACAGTGGGGTTTAAACAAAAAATGAGAGGCAGAACTAAGCAAGACCTCTAAGAATTCAAACGCGCTCTTTAGCTTTTGTCCAGAGAAGAACATCATGTCTCTCTTCTGGGCTATTTTTCTTTTTCCTATTCTTCAATTAGCTATTGATCTGAGGCCAGGAAATGGTCTTGACAGATTAGTTCTTAATGGTGTTGCTCTTGGGAAACCACAAGTACAAGGGACCATTTAATCCCAGAAAATGTGGCCAAATTACCCTGTCAAGAGAGCAGGAAAGTGAGCGGGGGCAGATCTTAAAGGCTTCTCGGTGAGACCACGTCACAAATGTTTCATTGTGCTTGAGAAGTAAACAGAGAAAGGGGGAAGCAATTTGTTTGCATGGTCTTTTAACGCTAAGCAAATTGGCAACAAGGATGAATTTAAAGTAGCTTTTGAAAGGCATCTCGCACTTTTAGGGCAGACCCTGTTTTCGTTGAGGGGGTCTACAGAAGCCATGTTGAACTGACCTGTGGTTTCTACACAGAAGTAACTAATGCTTCACCCACCTTCCTGGCTCAACAGTTACAGGTCAGCCCATCCGGAAGCCAGGGGGCATCTTAGTGAAGCACTGACAGAAGACACAGGAGTTGGGACCAGTGTGGCAGGAAGTCCTCTCCCACTGACCACAGGAAATGAAAGCCTTGACCTCACCATCGTTAAGCATCTGCAGTATTGTACCCAACTCGTTCAGGTAGGATGGCTGACTGTTTTTGTTTTTTAAATCCCAGGTTGTATACCAATACACAATTATATATTTAATTTTTTATTTTATATATTAATAATATTAATAGTATTAATAACATATTAATAGTATTAATAATATAATATTAATAGTTTAAATACCGGGAAAGTGTACTTCCTGTTTTAGTTTACCCAGTGAAATGAGAACCCAGGAGAATGGTCAGACAACCTGAACAAAGTAATGTCACTGAACTGTGCACACAGAAATCATCATCTTCATGATACACTTTACTGTGTATACTTTCAACAACAAAATCGTCTCTTTAAAAAAAAAAGTGCAAATAAATTAATAAAAAGAATATGATACAATAAAAAGGAGGAGAAATGAGAATTCAAGATTAAGAGAACAGTCCTGCTTTTATTTGTGTCAAGTCAAAAACCGATGGGTATTCCCACCTTGCTCAACCTTGGGTTTTCCATCTTATAACCTAAATCACCAGACCTTAAAAAATCATAGGAAAAAGTAGCTAAATTTTAGGGGGACTGCAAAGTATCAGGTGAAACATATTAGCTCTTGCTTTGAAATCCTTTGGTAGTTAATAAAGATTGTTGCTGTTGTTTAGTGCCATCGAGTTGGTTCTGACTCATAGTGACCCTGTATAGGGTTTCCAAGGAGCAGCTGGTGAGCTTGAATCTCTGACCTTACGGTTCAAGCTGACCTTGCAGTCCAGCACATTAACCCATAGCACCACACCAGGAATCCAAAAGAATCAAGGCCAGTGTTCCAACTTATGGCGACACTGCATAGGGTTTCCGAGGCTGTAAATCTTTAAGGGAGCAGAAAGTGTCATCTTTCTCCCATGGAACGGCTTGTAGTTTCGAACAGCTGACCTTGAGGTGAGCAGCCCAACTTGTAAACACTATGCTATGTAAAGGTGGCATCCTTTTTTCAGGTCTAGGTATTTGCATTTTTCTATCTACAAATGGCATTTAAATTACTGAAATAGTCAATATTACTGTACACATGTTAATATGAATGTGTACATATTAGTTCGTTTTCTACCAGCTAAACAGCAAAAGCAAAGTGTAAAAGAAACTCATAAAGTTTCCTAGATCTAGAATAAATACTTCCCTTTAGCTATGGGAACACATACTTCCATAGGCCACTGTCATCATCAGTTAGATATCATTCTGAGACACAGAGCTCATTGTTTTTCTAATTTCAGTTTGTCTACTACATAAAGTTTTGCAAGGATTTTGAAATTTCTTTCTTACAAGAAAGCTTTCAGTTGCCTTGAACAAATAATTTTCCCCTAAGCATCTGCTTTAATACTTCTTCCTTGCCTAGTTGCTTTTCCCAGTCTTGCCATTCCTTCTCCCAACTTGCCTCTGGATTGTGAGGAACAAGGAAACAATGTAGAAACAGATATACTAGTGGTTTCAGGGGAATGACCCAGGCAGAAGAGTGCATAAATAGAAGAATCTTAGTGGTTCTGACTACAGAACTGCCGTATGAATCAGCAATCCAATTCCAGTTATATAGCTACAAGAAGTGAAACAAGAAATGCAAACAGAAACCTGTATACCAGTGTCCATTGTCACACTTGTCACAAAAGCCAAAAGGTGGAAACAACAAAAATGTCCATCAGCAGATGAACAGATAAGCAAAATGTGGTATATACACACAATGGAACATTCCTGTTGTTGTTAGGTGCAGTTGAGTAGGTTCCAACTCATAGTGACCCATATAGGGTTTTTGAGGAGCAAATGGTGAGTTTGAACCATAAACCTTGTGGTTCAAACCGACCTCATGCTCTTGCACGTTACCCTACAGCACCACATCAGGATAAAATGCACAACATGGATGTACCTTGAAGATATGCTGAGTGAAATTAGTCAATTGCAAAGGAGCACATGCTGTATGATCTCACATGAAATAAGCAAATATTTATATACCAAAGATGCTTCATGGTTACCAGGGGTGGGTATTTGGAGGAAAGGGGATGGGGAAGTTGGTGCTTGGGAGACTCTGAGTTTATGTTAATGGTGGTGGAATGTATTTGATGAGAATAGTGATAACAGTGGCTGGCACAACATGAAAAATGTCATCAATGTCACTGAATTGTGCATGTGGAAGCTGCTGTATTGGTGGATGCTTTGCTGTGTGTATTTGACCACCATAAAAGAGAGAGTGAAGAGGAAGAATCGTGCTCCTAGGAGTTGTTCTAGAGCATAGGACCAACTGGGAGACAAGAGGCACGGTGATGAGTCAGGGGTCCCTAGGGAGGTCAGGACCGGAACAATGTTTCTTCTTCAGTAACACAGTGGTAATGATATAGGGCATATGCTTTTTCTTCACAAATAAATAGCCTCAAAGTAGCTTCCAACAACTCATGTACTATGGGAAACTGGTTGATAATTATGCCTCTTGCAACGTGGTTGGCCAACACCTTAATTGATCTCTTTTGTTGAGTTATTTTGTTGTTGTTGCTGTTGAGTTTTAAATTTACAGGTGTGATGCTGTTGTAGTTGTTGTTAAGTGCTGTCCAGTTGGTTTCAACTCATAGCGACTCTCTAGAGTTTCCAAGGAGCAACTGGTGGGTTTGAACTGCTGACCTTGTGATTCACAGTTCAGCACTTATCCTACAGCACCACACCAGGACTCCAAAATATAGAAAAGTACTCCTGGTATGGCACTGTGGGATAAAGCACTGGACCACAAGGTTTGTTTGAACCACAAGGCCAGTGGTTCAAACTCACCAGCCACCCCTAGGAAATCCTATACAGGGTCACTATTAGTTGGAACAGATGCCACGGTACTGAACAACAACAACATAAGTTAATTAAAATACTCATCCATTTTGACCACATTAATTGTTAATGACATCATTTGTGGAGTCCTGGTATGGCACTGTGGGATAATACACTAGACCACAAGGTTGGTTGAACCACAAGGTCAGCAGTTCAAACTCCCCAGTCACTCCTTGGAAACCCTATACAGGGTCACTATGCGTCAGAACCGACTCGATGGCACTTGGCAGCAACAGTCTAAATTTGGAGCAGTGGTGGTTCAGTAGACTCCTCGCCTTCCATGCAGGAGACCGAGTTCAGTTCCCAGACAATGCACCTCAGGTGCAGCCACCACTCATTTGTCACCACAAGGAAGCTTGTGTGTTCCTGTGATGCTGAGTAGGTTTGGCAATCTGTTTCCTAAAAGTAAATCCAATCCCATTGCATGTAGGGTCACCATGCATCAGGGACATTCATGTTAGATGGCAGCTAACATTAATAATATTCTATGGGCACGGACCAGAGAGTCCTGGTGTGGTGCTGTGGGCTAATGCAAAGCCATCTGAACTACAAGGTCAGCAGTTCAAGCTCACCAGCTGCTCCTTGGAAATGCTATACAGGGTCACTATGGGTCGGAACTGACTCAACAGCACTTAACAATAACAACAACATATGCACTGACCATTTAAATGAGCCTAATGCTGTGCTTGAAAAACAAAAGAGGAGAGTATAAAGATGTATAATGGAGTGAGGACTGAAAAGTAATTTCTAACTCGTACCTACTCCTGATCAGCACAGCCCCACATTCACTTGGTGTATGATTGCAGAGCAATAAGTATGGACATACTATAAGAATCATAATGGCGTTGATCATTTCTTTAAATTAAGTAGTATATTTCTACTATACTTACTTATATGAATTGCTGCTCGGACTTTTGAATTTGATAATCCTAGTTTGGTACTTCTCACTGGAGAAGGATATCATGTTTGGTAGGGTGGATGGTCAGAGAAAAAGAGGAAGACCCCCCAGAGAGATAGATTGGCAAAGTGGCAGCATCAATGGGCTCAAGCATGGCAATGATAGTGAGGTTGGCCCAGGATTGGGCAGTGTTTCGTTCAGTTGTGCATAGGGTCACTATGAGTCAGTACTGACTCAATGGCACCTAACAACAACAACAAGTTTAGTACTCAAATGCTTAAAATAGCACAGCTTGATAGTGTATGCTACAGGTGGTAGTCCACTGCCTATCTATCAAGAGTTTGTTGTACTTTGGTAGCTTGCGTGTTGCTATGATACTGGAAGCTATGCCACAGATATTTCAATCACCAGCAGTGTCATCCTTGATGGGCAGGTTCAGCAGAGCTTCCGGACTAAGACATACTAGGAAGAAAGCCTTGGGGATCTGTTGCCAAAACTTAACAAGTAAAAATACTATGGATCATGAGTCTGGGCAAGCAGAAGCACTGAGCTGACCTTCTGCAACACAGACCTGAGAGACTAAGTGAAACACATACAGATGGTGGTCCTGGAACCCTGAGCATCAGAGGATAGGACCGAAAGGTGTTTGTGTGCCATCTGGAAGAGGAAGCTAAACAGGCACAGTGGAGCAGTGACAGAGAAGAAAAACTGTGGGCTGGTGTGGCTCAGGGTGGTCATCTTGAGCTTTTGCCAGTGGCTGTTGGTAACAGTGGACTGCAGACAACAAGATACAGCTGAAGGTTGGCAACAAGTGGGTGCAATTACCCTCCTGGTAACCAGGAGTCTGGCCAGTCCCTGCCCTTGTCAACCCAGTATCCAGTAGCACCCCCTCCTGCCTGGAGTGGGCCACTACTTCTGGAGATGTATGCACCAACCCAAAACTAGACTATACAAAAGAGTGAGCAGAGAAGTAATTGTGTTCACACTTCCAGTGTCAACCACAGCCACCAGATACAGTTGGTGAGCTTACACAAAAAACATACCAATATACATACAATCATCAACTAAATATAAATACAACTCCACAATGGCTCACAGGAAACCATTTCAGCTTACACAAAACACAAGATGGAGTGACCAGTAACTAAAGAGTCAGAAAATATAACTCCAGAAATCATATCATAACTACCTGATAAGGAATTTAAAAGGGTGTTAATTAGGCATCTTCAAAGGATTGTGAGAAAGGTCAAGAAACTTACAGATGAAATAAAGGAAAACATAAACAAAACCATGGGAAATTTCAGGAAACAAATGGACAAAATAATTGAAAAAATGGGAACCATACAAAAACAGCAGTTAAAAAGATAGAAGACTAAAACCAAGACTTCAGAAATAGATAATAAACTTACAGGGCAAAGAAATCATCTGAATCAATGGAAAGCTGAATTACTGAGCTTGAAGAAAAATCTCTCAATATTCATCAACTAGAGGAACTATCAGAAAAGAAAAGAACAAAAAATTCCAAAGAAATTCTAAGATGTATGTGGGACACTATCAAGAGGAATCACTTACATGTGATAGTAATTCCAGAACAGGAAGAGAAAGAAGAAACCCATAGTGAATATTGTCTAAGAAAAATTTCCTAACATCATGAAAGACAAGAAGACAGCCATTCAAGAAGTTGAATGAACTCCAACAGGATAAACACCAAGAC